ATATATATATATATATATATATATATATATATATATATATATATATATATATATATATATATATAATTTTATGACCTAGCTATTGGAGTATTCAGTCAAGGTGACAGAGACGATGACATCCGAGAGGAGCGAGTATTCGTGTCTGTGTATCAGATGCTTCAATCTCGGGCACGACCAATGTGTGCCAGTTGTACAGGCAACACAACAGAACATTACCAGACTACCCATCTTCCGCCTAGCACCTATTCACCGGTCCCTAAAACACCAGCACCGGAACGTAACTAGCACATGTGAAACTTGGGTGCCCAGCACATACGGTACGAGTGAACATGGCAACTGTTACGCCGTATCAGTCAAATGATGACGATGATAGCACAGAGCGAACTGGCGCAAACGGTCAGTTATTAGTGTAGCATGACACACAAACATTCTTCTTCAACCAGGCATTATTATCATCTTCATCATCGACCAGCGTGCAAAGCTCTGTTCAGAGTGGATCGAGTATGGAACTGAATGAGACCGAGAAAAAATGGATGGTATCCATTGGGTGTGCCCAAGATTATCATGAACAGTGAACCTAACCAAAGGCCCGTACCAACATCATATCGATTCGATGCTGATGATGCAAATGAAGATGGATACAGAGGCTTATCTTATTTTCTATCTATTCAATTTAAATGTACGTACCGAGTCTTAACTTGGCATCCATGTTCATGCTCAGTTGATCGAACTTCATACTGTTTATCTGTTGTGGATCCTATGCGATTTTAAAAGGGAAAAAATGAGCTGATTTACAACCCGGCCAAAAACATCAGAATAGAGGAGTGAATTTGACGGGCAGCGTTGTCAGAGCTGAGTGATTACAGCTGAAAAAAGAGCATTTCAGAGACGCTCGAAGTACCCGGTCTATTTATGTCTCGGTATCCAATCCACAAGTAGCACGCAGTGTTCAGTACACCATTCCACTCAATGGAATCCAGGGTTTATACTTCCCCAGATTTAACCAGTTGTCATCAGCTAATTTGACAGGTCCCATATGGTAGATTCCTACACCCCAAACTTACTGGAAACATCCTTGCCACACGAATACCACGGAAACATCTCAAGGGAAGCTGCGAATGCACTTAACTTTTATTCCACCACTCTCAATACAATTACGTTCAGTTATGCTGTACTCATCAGTAGGCGTATCGCAGTGTGGCACGGGACAAACCAGATTGAAAATTAGGAAAGAGATGTAAAGTCTGATTTGGACACGGTGCAGACAAGTTGATGATCAAAACAAATGATTTGATCAAATGAAATGGGGCACAGTGATGAATATGCTTAAAAGAAATCTAAAAGAGCATCGGAAAACAGGAGAGCTTACCACAACCTCGCCATTCAGCACTCGACGTGGATACTCCCGCAGTTCAAGGACGGGAGCCGAAGAAACCGCCTGGGATGAAGACAACGATACCTCAGTGCCTGTGTTTGGTGATTGTGGTGTCGGTGTGGATGAGATTGGGGATGTGGT